AGTATATTAGAACTTCAGTCAGAATTAAAATTAAAATCTGAATTATTTTCGATATACAAAAAAAAATTGAAAAAAAAACTTTTTTTTTTGAAAAAAAATATGAAACTAAAAACTTTTTTTCCCAAAAGCAATTATTTTATCGAAACAACCAGGAAATTCTTTCAATCATTCAAATCGGACGCTTAGTTCTCTCATGTTCAAATCGGATACTCCGTTCTCTCAAGAACTCGATTTGTATTTTCTGCACTCTTTGCTAAGTATCAGCACATCTTTCTATCAATAGGAATCGAATGTTTTTTGAACCATTCAAATCGGTTGATCCGTGCGCCCAAAAACGTGAACGAAAAAATGCGGACATACAAAACACACACACACACATCCATTTTTTTGAGGTATGCCAAAATGTTCAGAAACCTTCAAAACGTGGAAAAATACAAAAAAAATCGTTTTTGATTTTCGGCCCATTACTATAACTACCCTACGGGAAGTTAATAATAATGTATTTTTTATATAAGAATATACAAGACGAATGAATGAAGAGTTTATTAAACATTAAATTTTAACATTAGAATTAACTTTTATTCGATAAATGTTCTTTGAAGATTTTCACAGGGAATTGTTTGTATAATCCCCTAACAATAATTTAACAATCCTCGTAATCTATTCGAAGGATCTCCTGCATTTGAATGTCCTTTGGAAGCGCGTGCGTCGTATCCGCGTCCGCAAAAGAGAGCGTTCTTGGTTTGTGGGTACTCAGCAAGATTGTTTTCTAGAAGTTTTCCTTTTAAAAGCCTCAACCGGAGCAAAAGAAAAAATCCATGATAAAATGGAAAACCTCAACCGGCGGCCGCTCACAAAGATCACAATGCCACTCTCCGATAACAAAGACTAGTTTTAATTAATTAAAAATAGTAAAAGAGGAGAAGAAAAAAGAAAGTCTGCGATACCGAATAGCTAAAATGAACTCCGCTTCGTAACTGAAGGAAGTTTAGTTGCTGTTATCGGTGCCGTGAGCGTCCGGAATTAAGTTAAAAGTATCAAACACTGATTGAATTGATGTATAGAATAAACCCACTGAACACGAACAAACGCTCTACCTCTTCAGATATAATAGACGTAGGCACACCAACATACACACACACATACATGCACACATATATGAATAACTATGTAATTTTTTTTAGATTGTGAAAAATATGTTGATAAAACAATGTACTTGTTAACAGACACCCATCCAGATATGAAATAGAAAGGTTACTAAGATATGTTTCTAAAATAAATTTATTACATGAATTTACCTCAATTAAATGTGAGCTTATAAGATTTTTCATATATATTTATATATACGTGTATGTATGTAACGTAAAATTATAAAGTAATGATTTTTTTCGATATTAAACAGTAATAGAAAATTATATAAACATAGGTAGAAGTATTTGTACCGTAATTCAAATTTTTTGAAAATTTTAAAATTTTGAGAAGTTAGAAATATTTCCAAAATTGTGAAACCCATTCAATTGGTTGATACAAATTGATATAAGTAAGTAAAATTTAAAGATTAAAAATCTTGGTACAAAATCCAAAGAAGTGATGTATGGCATTGTGCCTCAAGGTAAATTGCTGGAACTTCCCATACCGTAACGAAATGTTCGAGGAATATTAAATGCTTTCAAATTTGAGTATTATGAATACTGTAACATTGTCGAATATTTATAAGAGTTTTATAACTTATATAATATAGAATTGCAAAGTTGATAATATTTTTTTAAAGTATATTAAAACTTTAGTCATAATTACAATTAAAATCTGAACTATTTTCGATATACAAAAAAATGAAAAAAGTAAAAAAAGCAATTATTTTGTTAAAACAAGCAAAAAGTTATTTGAATCATCCAAATCGGACGCTTAGTTCTCTCAAAAACTGCCATTTTTTGCACATTTAGCTCTGTGTCTTCAAAATGGCTGGACCTGTGTTTGCCAAAAACTTGTCACCTCTTTTCCCAATCATTACAAATTAAATGTTTTTTAGATCATTCAAGTCGGATATTCCGTTCTCTCAAAAACTCGATTTGTATTTTCTTCACTCTTAGCTTCGTATTTTCGTAACAGCTGGACCTGCCTTTGCCAAAAACTAATCAGCACATCTCCCTATCAGCAGGAATTGAATGCTTTTTGAACCATTCAAATCGGTTGATTGGTGCGCCCGAAAACGTGGACAAGAGATTGTATCCATACATACACACACATCCATTTTTTCTGAGGTATGCCAAAATGTTCAGAAACATTCAAAACGTGAAGAAATGTAAAAATTTTCAATTTCGATTTCTGGACGAATAAAATAACTTACCGTACGCAAAGTTAAAATGCTGTATATCTAAAATACTCATTATTGAAATGTATATAAAATATCTGATGTCTGAAGCCGCGTAATTTACCTTACCAAAAATTTAATCAATTTCTATTCCGGTAATAAAAGTAAAATGATTTTTAAAACATTCAAACCAGACACTTGGTTTTTCAAAAAATTGCCATTTTTGGCACTTTTTGTTACATGTCTTCGAAACGGTTAGACCTGCCTTCGCCAAAAACTAACCAGCACATCTCCTTGTCAATACAAATCGAATTTGAATCAATAAAATCGGTTGATCCGTGCTCTCGAAATCTTCGACGAAAATTTGAATCCACACATACGCACACACATACACACACAAATATACAACCATTTTTCCGGAGCTAGGCATCCTATGCCAAAACTTTTAGGAGGGCTTGAAACAAAAATTTTTGTTTCCGATTTTTTGCGATGACATAACTTGTCCAGCGTTATTTACAATTTAATAGAAACTATTCTTAAAATGATATCTGAAATAGTTTTGAGAAAAAGAGAAATATTTTTTATCTTCATATCCATCTTTTCTTTCCTAAAATTGAACTCAAATGACTCCCTTGAGAAAATCTGCTCGAAACACAAAATGTACGTCCACGGAGCAAGTTGGATCGAAAACGAAATTGCAAATTACATTGTGTTGCCATTAATGTTATTGGATTGCTATTGAAAGCAATGGCACTTCGGCAAAAATATAAATTAACATTTTATAGAATAGAGGATATGGTAATAAAGTGAATCTTTTGCGGTTCATCAATGAATTGCTGATTGTTGTTTTATTGACTACTAGTTTCTACAAATAAATAAATAGAAATAGGGGGTAACAAATATAACCGAGATATGCTATGTTTGGATAATCGCATATATATATATATATATATATATCTATATATATATATATGATATTCTTACATCTACAAGGAAGTGTATGTAGATCCAATGCAGGCGGATCCTTGGGCCATATCAAAGTGACAGCTACTTAGGATCACAGAAACGGTTTATCTTCAAGAATGTCCTAAAGCAATTCCCTTAGAGAATCATAAGTTATGTTTCTAGATAAAAATAGAGTAAATATAAAGTTTGCGAGTTATCTCGAACTGCATTGTAGAATACCTAATAATTCGTCACATCCACTGAATTATAGATACGTGTACTCAAGGGATTATTGGGAGTAGTAAAATGTGGAGATAAAAATATATTTAGTAAAAACGATATCGTGGTTGAATTCGTTTTAGCAACTTTCTTAAACTTTGTTCTAAAAAGAATAATGAAAATGTCTAACAAACTAACTGTATAAATGGTAATTTGTCATTTTGGATTTGCATGTATTCCGGCTTAGACTACATTTTTTCTTGTTAAAATGCAAATTTGAGACAATATTATTTGATTCGGTAATGGGATTTTGATATTGAAAATTAAAAACTCATAATTTATTTATTTGTTGTTCCATATAAATTTACAAGCTGGTCTTTGCAATCACAAGACTGCTGATTCAAATCCTGCGCTACGTACTCCCTGGTATCAAGCAGTAGTGATATCCTTTAAAAATCTTTTAAAATTATATACAATAACTAGTGGGGTGCATGGCATCGTGCCTTAAGGAAACTGCTGAAACTTCCCGTACCGTAATAAAAATCTTGATACGAAACCTAAAAAAATTACACAAAATGTGTACACATTATTAAAATCTTTATAAAATATCTGATGATTTGATGTGCATAATTCCAATAAACATTTTTGACCGCCAAATGTAAGCTTTTTAACTTATTTTCATTGAGAGTCCATAACCGCTGGACGTGTTTTCCTAAAAATTCAATTAATTTTTTATCTTGTCAATACAAGTAAAATGTTTTTTGAGTTATTAAAATCAGACGCCCCGTTCTCTTAAAAACTGAGTTACCGTTTTTGGCACTTTTTGCCCCGTATCTTCGGAACGGCTAGTAATGCCTCCGCCAATAACTAACCAGCACGTATCCTTATAATACGAATCTAAAGTTTATTAAATTATTCAAATCGGTTATTCCATACTGTCGAAAATGTCGTGAACATTTATTTAAACCATATAAATAAAACTTCAAAATTAAAAATCTTGGTACGGAACCCAATAAAATTTACACAAAATATTTTTATGAAAATATCTATAAAATCTGATAATTTGATGTGCATATGTCTAATGATCATTTTTGACCACCAAAGGGCATGTTTATAACTTATTTTTATTGAGTCCATAACTGATCTACCAAATTTATTGGTATGTATTGAAATCAAAATATTTAAGTGCTGATAAAATTTTGGTTTATAAATTATTATTAAATAGAAATGTTTTCATAGACCAAAATTTCATAAAAGTTTTCATCAAGGGAATTTTTTGTGCATTTATCATTCATCAAGAGAAATTGGAACATATATGGAGAGACAAAACCTCAAATGCTTCATGACACGGTCAATTTCTGTTGAGGTTTGATGAAATTAATAATTATAAAATTAAGACAATCACTAATTTAAAATTATAAGATGTACCATTTATTTACGTATCTTAATTCTATTGTAATCGGTTTGTCCCATCAGTATTAACAATGTCCATGAAACTCTTAAAAATGTATATTGAAGTACTTACTCTATATGGTCCTAGATGATTAACAATACAAGTAAAAGTCACATCACGTCCTTGTGTAGCAGTTTGATTACCAAGTGGTGCCAGAAATTCCGGTTCTATCTCGGGTGGTTCCAAAATTTCACCTGCAAGTTAAATGTTTCTTATAATATAAGTTAAAGTTAATATAAATATTATTACTCTTTTTAAATGCTTACCGTGAGCAAATTGTCCATATATTAGAATCACAAACAACCATTTTATTATATAGCTGGGTCCGATCCGGCCCTTGCTAAGGGCCCAGCCTTTTTCCGGCTTCATCAAACCGAACAGCTTACATGACTGTAGTAAAAGTCACGTCATTACTTGGGCCCTGAAAAAAATAAAATATCTCAATAATAGGAAGAAATACTCGTGCTAATTATATTTTCTTATTCATAATTAAAAGAACTTGTTCAAAGAATTAGAGTATAAAAGAATTCAATAGGAAAAGTTTGGGATGGTGTTCATAAAAGTGTATTTGCAAAATAAGTTTTTATAGATAACTTGTGTTCGAACTCTGTGTGCACAGAAAAGAACGTAAATAATTTTTGTATAAAAAGTTGTTCATTATATTATTTGGATATTCAAAAAGTTTTAATCTTGGTCGACACAGACCGAAGTGTAAAACTCAAAAACACCATATATATGTGTGTGTACTCAATATATATGTGTGTATGTGTGTATGTATGTATCAGTATGTATACATAGTAATATTTTCATCAGCAGGAAAACATACTCAAATTTAATTATTCCCCGTAAAAATATTCAACAATAGGTTTATTGGAGTTTTCCTGGTGCAAGAGACACGCGCATTTATCTCTATCTCGTTTGTGTCGATGTTTTTTAGGAATTTTTCTCCCACAAAGTACGTGAATTGAAAATTCCATAAATGAGCGCAAAAAGTTTTGCCCCCCTGCTGGTTTCGCAGAGATAACGCTTAAAATGTATAATGTTTTTGTTCACATCAAAACATCCGACGCTAACACGCAAAAATATTATGAGGAATGTTTTCGAATGAATAATCAAACATTTGGCATTTCATATGCTGTCCGATAGAAATTTAAAGCACGCCTGTATTGTCAATTGGCAGGGAAGAATTTATTAGTTCGAACAACAAATTATTGTTATGCTTGATTAAAATTTATTACTGATTTTGCAAGTATAGATAATTATGTTCAAACTCTATTACATATATTGCAAATATTATAAAATAACATATATTCAGTGTGCCAAGAAAATGAAGTTATAGGTTTTATGTATGTCCATGATGGTAATTAACGACTTGATTGTGTCGAGTATTGATTTAACATTTTGCAAAACAAAACATCGATTATATCCCACGTTTTCAATTTATATTTTAAGATTTTCAAAAAATTTCAAAACTTTGAAGTGTTATCAAAATTTTCTCTATTTTTTAAGAATTTAAAAAAATTAAAGCTTCTCAATTACGGTAGGAAACAGACATTTGTTTTAATGCACGATGCCAATTCATCTGTAGTTTGTAAATTGTTTCGTAAATCTGTAGTTTCGATATTATTTAATTTGATTTGTTATTGTAAAATTATATTTTTTTAACATTCTTATAACAATCATGAGATAAATATCATTACTGTTATTCCTACTCGTCAACAAGTATTTTTTTTTTATCTTATTGTATGAACTTATATATATAATTTTAACATTTGTACGCAATCTACATTGTAATTTTTGTTAGTGCTTTTTCCAAATATGAAAATAAAGTTACACTTTGTTTAATTGTTGAATTCCAAACGATGAAAATGATATTCTTACTGTTAAATAAAAAAAAAATTAGAATATATTGAATAGTGACTTTTTCTGTAAATATTTGGGCTTTAAGTTTTATTTATCTGAAAATATAAACATCATACTCTACAGAAATACTCTCTGAGTGTAGATGCCTTAAAAATTAAACAAGATTTTTGTACGACTAGTTCTAGCAATGTTAGCCCCTTTATCATACACTACGTGTAACTACATAAAGTTTAATAATTTAATAAATATTTTTTTGTAAATTTGCTGTTATTGTTCAATTATTAACTTCCCGTAGCGTAAGTTATAGTAATCGTCCAAAAATCGAAATTAAAATTTTTTGCCTATTTTTACGCTTGAGAGGTTTCTGAACATTTTGGCATAAGATAGAAGAAATTGATGTGTGTGTATGTGTTAAACAATCAATTTGATAATTCGAAAATAATCAGTTTCGTGCTGATTAGTTTTTGGCAAAAGTTGGTCGAGCCGTTGTGGAGACACGAAGCTAAATGTGCAAAAATGACAATTTTTGAGAGAACAAGCATCTGATTTGCATAATTCAAAAAACTTTCTGCTTGTGTTGACAAAACGATTGCTTTTGAGGAAAAAGCTAACAAAATTTTCTTAATATTTAGTTTTTTAATTTCCAAAATATGTTTTTTTTTTTGAATATTAACATTAATTGAAATTTTATACTTAATTCTAGCTAAAGTTAAAAAAGCTCACATATATTTCGCCTAAATGATTTTAACTTTGCAATTCAGTTTATCTAATTTTTATGAATATTAGACAATGACCTTTATTTTGAATCCGATTAATTAAGTTTTTTTTTATTTATTTTCTGTATATAAACGTCATCGTCTAATTCATAAGCTGTTATATTTTGTCTATAAAATACGAATAATGAAAGTTACAGTATTTTCAATAATCTATTTAAAAACATCTAATATTCCTCAAATATTTCATTACGATACGGAAAGTTCCAGCAATTTGCTTTAAGACACGATGCCATACACTAATAGTTTAACACTATTAATTAACACTATTAATTTCATTATAATAATTCTTATTGCCTCCAAGAATCAAATTAATGATCCAAAAATGCATTGTATGCCTCAACCAATAAAGAAATATTTTTGCATATGGCAATATTCATGTCAGCAAAAGGTCTCTCCTATATAGGTACTGATACAATACTAAAAATTCCTCCGTCAGCTTCTCTCGCGACTTTTAGCTAATAAAACGTCTTTCGCACTGTCTGCGTACGTTCATTCTATTTCGGAAAAGTCGGCTCTTTTGTGTGTGTGCAACTTTTCCAATATATGGAAATCAGTTTGCTTTTCACGATGCGACCGCGCACCCTCTTTTGTTCTAGTAGTAGTTGATAAAAAACACGAGCGACAAAACTTTCAGTCATATAAGGGAAAGTAAGGTTAACAGTAAGGTCTGTTGACTATAATAGAATTTTGTGATATTTTGATATTTGATAGCCTTGTTTTTAATTTTAGAAAATTTATATTACTTTTTGATGTTATACTATATATATAAATTGCATTGTAAAATTTTTATTTGTTGCATATATATAATAATATCTACTCGTTGTAGTAACAATGTAGATAATAATGCACAACTAATTATGATTAGAAAAAAATGTAACTGATTTTTAACTTACTCTGAGGTAACTTATATAGTAATCGCAAAAAATCGAAAATAAACTTTTTAATATATCTTTACGTTTCAAAGGTGTCTGCAGATTTTGGCATACTCTAAAAAGGATAAATTTGTGTGTGTGTATGTATGTGCGGATACATTTTTTTGTCGACGATTTTGAAAAAATAGGATCAACTGATCTGAATAATTGAAAAAATATTAGATTCCTGTTGATGGTAAGTAGACGTGCTGGTTAGTTTTTGGCCAAAGCAAGTCCTGCATTTTTGAAGTTATTTCGTCACTAAAACAGCTACACTGCACTATTTCTTAGAAAATAAGTCAAAACTTTCTGATAATTTTAAAATACCAAAAAACATTTTTTGTTTCAAAAAAGGTCAAAAATATCAATATTTTCAGAAATTTAAGTTTTTAAAAAGTTAAAAAAAAAATTAAATTACTGTACGGAAAGTTCCAGCAATTTGCCCTAAAAAGTACGACGCAATGCGCCACTATTTTATCAAAGTAATGGAATCGTTTGAAAAAAGTTCATATTATTTGGAGGTTGTAGTTAAAATTTATAAAATATATTAATGTGAATGTACTTATCATTTCAATATAAAATATAATAAATTACCATGTACTCTATTAAAGTCTTTACGCATCCTAAAATTATGTAGTCACTGGATTGCCAAATTTAACTTGAAAATAGAAGTATGAAAATCTGGATTAAAAGACCTAATTGAAAAAAACACCGAATTATTAGATGAAGAACAGTCTCTTACCAACAAGTTGATTTAGGTATGAGAAAAACGAACGTTTATTTGCAAAAACAACATCTTTATTTACTTTGAGTATTATGCATTAGGTTATACATTAAGTAATTAGAAATACATTAACATATTTCCAAAATTTGGAAAGAATACATGATTGAAATACACATCAAAGTATCAATGCTATGAAATGAAATTTTTGTTTTATAGAAACAAGCTAATCAGTCATCCAAATTCATTGGCAAACTCATTGATACACAGAGAACTATCCAAGAAGATTGAAAAGAAAAGCGCCACTGGATTTAAGCCATCAACTCTCCTGATAAAAAATGGAAATAACTTAATCATTATTTATAAGAAATTATTCAATATGTAATTAGTTAAATTATTAAATTATCAATAAAATATTGTGAATTTATATCGAATGAAAAAACCACTACTGAGTAGTATACAATGTCCCTTTTCGGCCGACTATTGTAAATTCATCAATTGATTGAATGTTGTTTACTGAACAGTTGTAAATAAAAGAGATAATAAAAAAATATTTTATACTAAGTACGAAACAATAAAAATTTGGTTTAAGTCAAAAAAATTTCTGATTCAGATAAAAATGATGACTGTGAAATTTTTGTGATATGAATATTGTGCATAGGATTTGTGAAAGTACACGTAGAAACAAATAAAAAACATATACCAATTATTATAAATAGAACGACGCATCAATGTAAAATTAGTCACTCACTAATAGATGCCCAGCATCTTTTATAATTAGATCTAAGAATTTGTTGACCATCTACATCAAATCTATCAGCAACTCTATATTCAGCATATAAGTTTTAAAATGAGTTTGTTCTATAGTTTTATTCCTATAACATGAGAATTCTATTGTTATATCACATATATATAAAACATTCTATTATACTTCTACTAATTGAGAAATAACCCGCTCTCCTCTATCTCGCGACAAAAAATTCGACAAAGACCTGAACCATTGGAAGAGTAGCAGTATGCTACGAATGAGAGAATCCGTTATAAAAACTTTTTGCAGGTTTTCGCTGCATATAGGCTTATTTTGCGTACTCTTATTCA